CCAAAACACAACTTGGTTCATATAATTGCTTCAAGGGTAATTAGATCTTATCCTTTCTCTTGAATTTTCATTTATGAAAAAATATATCAATGTTCATGGCTTAAGATACTTGGAAGAAGTTTTGTTTTTGAATTTAAACAACCACCATATTCTTCCGCTGCGATTAATTTGATTAAATGCATGTTTAATATTCAAATGAACTTCTTAAAAATGTTTTAAAACCAACAAAGTATTGTTTACGTTGCAAGTAAAGAAACTGGTAGCAAGCCTGGCCCTTTTATAGAAATAGAACGAATGAAGACTTGTAATGTATGCCCACATCTAAGTCGTCATCTTATTATTTCCAACAACAAGTAGTAAAATATCAAGCAACTACTGGGAGTGCCACATTTCTTTTTTATTTTATTTATTTGTTTCCGTTGAAACTGAGAGAATATGACATTTCTTCTGTAAAATAATTAAATATAATTGATCAATAATTTAATTTTGTATATGGACCACCTTCTTGGAGAAATATGACTGCATTCCTATTAATATGAAATGAAATTTATAAATAATATTCTTCACTGTGGTGTGTACGTACGGATTTGGTAAATACTCGGTCAAATAAATAAAGTTTGTGTATTGTGTATATAGTTTGTATTTTTTAAGTTGGATGACCTTTTTTGTCTTTTTACACAATAATAAAACTTACATCTTAATGATTTAAGTATTGGGGTGAACAAAGAGAAATTCGGGGTTTAAATAGAAAATCTTTTTAGTTTAAGGGAGGGAATGAAGGAGTTTACTGCTGCACGTTTCTAATAATGCCCTGGTTTATAGGGAAGTCCTAGTCTTTAGGGATATCTATTTGTATTTGAGTTGTTCCAAGTTTCTGTTACCACTTAGCTTTATTTCTGCTTAGTGGGCTGCTTTCTCTTTTCTGTTAAGATCGTGTATTGAATGGCTATTTAAGCCAAAGTTATTATTAATAAAACCAAGTCATTCAATCCAGCTTGTTGTGTTCTTGTTCTAAGTTTCATTGTAGGTCAAAGTTCCCAACAAAACTTCCCTACATCGACATCTTCTTCATGAACCAGTGTTGATCTCTCCGTTCATAGAATAATCAGTTTTAACTATTTTAAAACTTGTCTACATCGACATCTTTTCTTCATGATGTCCAAAAACCTATCTGAATATACCACGAAAGCTCCAATTCAAGACCCATGACAAAAAACTTGACCGTTTTCTTCATCACCAAGCCTACATGCAAATGCCATGGAAATTTCAGTTGAAGACCTTGACAATTTATGTTCTGAACCTCTGAGTCACCTGTAGATATATCTTAGAAAGCAGGCTAAGTCCATGAAACAGGGTTGACAATTCTTCATGTAGCAAGTTGTGGCTTCGTATCGTATATTTTTTTATTTGCGTTAAATATTGGGTAATTGACCTTGTTTAAGTCGTGTCGAATAACTCAACTCTAATGTAATTAGTTATTATAATCACGTGAGGTTTAGACAAACGCACACATGCAAACCAGAAATTTTAAGACTATGCTACGCTTCTAGACCCCTCCAAAATAGTATCATATACTCCTCTATTTATTTCACAAAGGGACAAGGTCACCCGACCCGGTGAACGCCGAAAAACCTCGTTGGCAATGGCAGCTCCACCGGTGATCTTGTGTCTTGTGGAAGCTTGATAGTCGACCCCAACATGCACTCCAAGTGCTCAACGAAAGGCCCCAACGAAAAATCAGATAATGGATCCTATTTTTATGGAACACAACTACCCATTATCTTTTTTAATTCTAAAATAAATTTAATTTTTTTTTTAAAAAGCCTCTCGCAGGTGCAAAAGCGTGTGCGGAGAGGCTAGTATATATATATATATATATATATATATATATATATATATATATATATATATATATATATATATTGGTATGGGTTTAAAGGGTTTTGTGTTTCTATTATATTGGTGTTAAGTGAACTTCTTTTTATGAGATTTGCGTAAGCAACGGGTATCTTGCACCGGAGAGTGTGGCCTATGTGGTCTACAGGACGAAACTCAAGCTCACATTTTTTTTCCAATGTGACTTTGCACGTGCATTCTGGTTTGCAAGCCCTCTCCAACTGGATGTGACCCGGTTAGCAGGGGAGGATTTTATTTCTACTTGGCGATATATGGTGATGACGCTCAGTTCATCTGAGCATGCAGCGGAGGCCATCCAATGGTTTGTTTTTGGGCTGTGGCGAATCTGGAAAACCAGGAACTTGGCTGTCTTTGAAGGTGCGAAAGCTGATCCCATTGAGGCTACTCACCTCTTGCTCAACCAAGTCTCTGAGTACCGTGTTGCTAAGCAGGAGATTCAGCCTCAACCTCTTCAGGCTATCAGTAGCTCCATAGCCCAAAGTTGGTGTAAACCTCTGCTGGGTCTTCTCAAGGTGAATTGCGACGCCGCATGGTCTGCTCAACTATTGCGGGGAGGAGTCGGCTGGGTTATCAGGGACAGCCATGGTCTACTGTTATGTGCTGGGGGTGAGGGTGACCTTCGTGGCTCCTCTGTTCTAATGATGGAACTTCTCGCTATTCGCCATGCCCTCAGTGCATGTGCCCACTTCCAGCTCACACACGTAATGGTGGAGTCGGATACCCAAAGAGGAATCTCAATGCTCAATGGTCAGGCTACTGTAGATTCCGATCTGGCGGG